ACCTTCAAAATTCAAATTTCCCCCCTCACCATTACCTTATCCACGTGTCAGCTCCTCAGCCTCCCACCTGTCGCCTCGAACTCCAAACCGCCTCTCTCTCTCCTATAAATACTCCTCCAACCCATCTCATTTCTTCACTTCTCTCATTCGTTTCTCTTAATTTGCCCGGTCTGCTTTCTCTCTCTAGCTTCTCACCAAGTAAGTGCTCCAGTCCTCCTAGTCTTTTATTTTTCATCTTCCCTTTTTTGACCGGCAATCATAATGTCTTCTGATAGCCAAAACATCTCTGGCCAATCCTATGGATCTGGCTCTCAGCCCTCTTCCTCTTCCCACTCTGAATCTTCTTCTCCCCCTGTCACTCCTTTGATTCGCCGCCCCTCTCACTAGTCTAGCTCCCAGGCCCGGGAAATAGTTGCCCAGGATCCTATTCCTTTGAACCAACTGCCCGGTCGGTTCAATCCCAAGGTCCTCAGCTGGAACCAGTGGGAAGAACGATTGGGATCAATGGGCTACCTAGCCCTTGACTCAGGACCGGTCTTCAAAGAGTCCTCTAGGGTTACAAAAAAGGTCCTAGCCGAAGTACGCTCTGTCCTTCCACCGGGCTATAAAGTCATTTCTAACACCACCTGGCCCAACATCATTGAACCCCACCAGGGAACCCGGTTGGGTTTCCATATTACATCTCTGGAGGGAGGTATTATTTTTCCTCTCCGCCCCCTCCTTATTGAAATCTGTAACAAGTTCAAGATTTTGCCCGGCAAGCTTACTCCAAATGCTCACCGGTTCTTGAATTGTTTCGTAAATATCTGTGAACATTTGAAAATCGACCCTTCCCTTCATCTTTTCCTCCACATGTACGAAGTCTTGCCCGGGACTAGTAATTGCCCGGGCTTTGTTTATTTTCATTCACGTAATAAGAGGAGTTTTGTCACCGGTCTTCCCCCTAGCCACAAAAGATGGAAGAAGAAATTTGTTTTTGTTGAATTCCCCCCTGACCAATTTCCTCTCTCAAACCCTGAGTGGGCTGACCGGGTTATAAAACCTGAAAGGGTTCAACCGGAGCCCACTAAAGATCTTGAGGACGCCTGCGAGAAACTTCTCAAGGGTGATCCTGTAACCGGGAAACCTTATGCCTATGGGGGCTGGGTATTCCGGCAAGCTAACCCGGATGGGGGTGCGTCTGCGACCCATGACGCTGAGGATAACCGGGCTGATTCCCCGGATGGTCACGCTGAGGCCGGCTCTCCTCATCCAGGTTGGTTAATTTTCCTCAACCTTTTGATTCCACTTTCATTTTGATAAGGTGTAAAATCTAACCGGTTACTTTGTTCTTTTTGGCAGACATGAACTTCAACAGGATGACCACCATCATTGAGGATGACGACAATGATGTCCAAGTCCTCCACTCCAACCGGTCTCCTCTCTCTAACTCTCCTGGAATGGATGGGGCCACAAGTGCCCGGTGTAGCCCTATCCATGAGCAGAGCCAGAAGCTGAAATCTCCTTCAGCTAGGCATCACTCTGAGGTTGACCGGGCTAATCCCCCCCAAAGTCCCGGTCCAATCAGGTGCTAAAGAGGTCGGTGCATCTTCCTCTTCAAAAGCCAAGGACCAAAAAAGGAAGAGCTCTCATAAGAGTTCCAGGGGAGGCAAGAAGAGGAAGATTAGCTTATCAGACAGGGAGGGGGAAACCATCGAAGAAGCCTTCCTATCCCTGGCCAAAAAACTCCGCAAGGTATTCCATCTCCACCTTTCTTCCCGGTTCAAGTTTTTTCCTTCACTTTTACTGATATGCCTGCTCTCTTTTTATTTTTTATTTTTACAGGCCGGGGTCATTTCAGAGGAGATTGGCCAAACATTAAAGGAGAAGGACCAGGTCTCCCAACTCACCCTCCTCCTTGATTCTGCTAAGTTAGAGATCAATGACCGGGCAGAAAGGGAGAGGAGACTTGAGGAAGAGTTGAAGGAAGAAAGGGCCCGGTTTGCTCTTCTGGAGGAGGAAAAGAAGAGAAAGATCGCCGAGCTCGAGGATGCGCTGGGCCAGGCTGAAGAATCTGCCCGGGCAAAGGAGGAGGCCTTTCCTTCTGAAGCTGCTGACTGGGCTGCGCGCCATCACACGGAGGTTGCCCGGTCCCTTCTCACTACCCCGGAGGAAACCATGGACTTTTTCAAAGTCATGTATCAAGAGCCGGAGGGGAAGAGGATGATAACGGAGATAGGGTCTTATGGATTCCAGTGTGGTCAGAAAGATGAGAGGTCTCTTCTTTATGCCAGACTTCTGAAGAGGGATCCTTCCTTTGACCCGGCCAAAATGAAGCTTCCAGCCCTCTACGAGGAAGAGCCGGCTCCCCCCTTTCCCCTAGA